GCCAAGTACCACGAACAGTATTTGTGTTGTTCCTCCCCAGACACAGCAGATTGAAGTTGATCACAATTACAGCTCCATCATGTGGCTGCTGTGTGATAGTTGTTCAGTTTTACATTGACTCACAACACTCGCAGCTCAGAGAGAGTCAGAGAGAGAGGGGGGGAAGAGACAGATAGAGAACACCGCATATACACTTTACGTGTCTCACGTTGACCTGCAATAACTCTGCTCAGATACTGATGGAAATGTAATAGTAATCATTCTTACATTTAATACAGCGCCTGTAATGTTGAAATGCTTAATAATAATAATGATCCTTGGATTTGATATAGCACCGTATCACGTCATTGAGACGTCTCAAAGAGTTTCGCAAGAACATATTATAAAGTGCAGTGACTGTGTGTTTTGTGGGAGTTTCCAAGTGCATCATAGACATTTGCTGTCAAATGCAGTGACTGTTTTTGCAGCCAATTTATGTGCACAGCAATGCCCCACAAACCGACATGAAATGCCTAATGAAATGAATTGACCGCGTGAGTAAATGACTGTTTTTGTTTGTGATTTACAGTGGGCTATGTTGCTGTGGGGAGAGGGAAGGGAAATCACAGCCAGGCCAGACCCCAACCTCTCTTCACCTGAAAGCCACACATTAGTGCTGACGGTGAGAGCTGAGAGGTAGAGTTTGTTTAATGAGTGAAGCCACAGGCGCAGAAGTAGAGAGGAATTTGATTAATGGTGAAGGCTGGAAAGTATAATGAAGCCACATGGACTGGGCAGAGAGAGAGGAGAGGAGAGGTTGGTAATGCTGAGGTCCTGGATAAGCTAAGTTAAGGGTTAGACATTGGTGAGGATGATCCTGAAGGAATCCTGCCTTGGGGCAGGAATGCTCATGGTGGACATTGACTCTGACCTCACTAAAGCATCTTATCCACTTCAGGAATCACAGCTGGGATGAAGGATAAACAAAGGCCCCAAAACTTCCTGGTTTGGTTCCAAATGGATAATGACTACCAACTACAAAGCCTGCCTCGGGTCTGAACATCACAGAAAGTATGTAATTGTGGCATTATCCTGAGGAAATCTGCCAGTAATCAGCTGGTGCCAGTGCAGTCTCGGGGCCTTCATCAAGGAAGGTTCCTTTGACGTCACAGCCTTGACCCCAGGCCACACAGAGGTGTTTCAATCAATGTTGGTGACAACTCATCTCAGTTGGCAGCTCGCACTGTCACCTCTGGCTCAGATGTTGATGGTTCAAACCCCACATCAGGGCTTTAATGAACTCAACAACAAATTGGTTGATCCAGCGCCTTGGGACGTTCTCCCAGGGCTCTGGTCTAATCAATTTGTTGTGGTCGTTTGTTGTTGTTCATCTCATGGTTCTTTCTGAGACCTGCTGTGTCCTAACCAGTGGTCACATTGCCTATTGATTACAAAAACAGTCACTACAGTAATGAGCTGGTGGCATGTTGATGTTATTGGTGTGATAATAACCAATGTGAGGATGATTTATTTTGAGCTTGTCAGGATGTTCAGGAACAGTCTGCTTATCCTTTCGTGACATCTAAGATGATAAAACGCTGCAGTAATTTGTATTGTTATCCGGAAGCCAAATATATAACAATGACAAGCTCCAAACCCTCAGGAATGATCGTTTGAAGTGAGGAAGTTTGTTATCAATACAAAATGTCTTAATCATCACATAACAAACAACAATTTTATTTCAGCCACATTTGTTCATTTAATGTTGTCATCCTAAATTCTATTGAGTGGAGAGTAAATTCTCAGTGACAGTAACAACAAGAACAATAATAATATTCCCTGCATGTGATACAGCGCCTCATCACATCTTCGAGACGTCTCAAAGCGCTTCACAGAATACACTGTAAAGTGAATTGACTGTGTATTTTGTGGGTGAACCACGGCAGCCGATTGTGCACAGCATCGTCCCACAAAGAGCTGTGGATTGAAGTGATCAGTTTTCTTTAAGGAATTATTTCCACCGGAAAAGCGATCAGCCAATCGACTAACAACCGGGGTCCTACTTACTGCGAGGGAACCAGTGGCGTGCGGAGGAAGGAAACTTGCTCAGGATTTTACCCTGCCCGGGAATCGAACCCGGGTCTCTCGCTTATGAGGCAAGTGCTCTAATCACTGAGCTACAGGACTCCATGACATTCACAAATGGCATTTATACAGCGCCTGCCTTTCACGATGGGAGGACGTCCCAGGTGGCTGGACAGTCAGGGATTTGGACCCAAGCTGGGGATTGGGATCAGGAGGGGTGGAGGGCAGGGAGAGTAGGGTGAGGAGGGGGTGGAGGGCAGGGAGGGTGGGGTGAGGAGGGGGTGGAGGGCAGGGAGAGTAGGGTGAGGAGGGGGTGGAGGGCAGGGAGAGTAGGGTGAGGAGGGGGTGGAGGGCAGGGAGGGTGGGGTGAGGAGGGGGTGGAGGGCAGGGAGAGTAGGGTGAGGAGGGTGGCCAAAGGTGTGTTAAAGCGGAGGGTCTTAAGACCCTCATGTTCCTGTGGGAGTCACAGTGTGTAATTCTATGGTGTAGCCACAAGGGGTCGGGCGCGAAGCTGAACAAACAGTCACTGATCCGTGTAAATCGACCATTGGGAATGGGCTCTCAGGGAAGTGGTGGACGATTGTCGGCAAATCAAAGGGAATCAATCGAGAGGTACGAGAGATCAAACGTAGGATTTTTCTTTACTTTGGGAAGCCCGGATTAGCTCAGGGATACATTTCAAATCCTTCCTATTATCACGTCATTGAGACTTCCAAAGCGCCTCACAGAATGTACTGTAAAGTGGAGTGACTGTGTATTTTGTGGGCGAATCGTGGCAGGCAATTGCGCACAGCAGCGTCCCCACAAACATTCGTGGATTGAGTACCAATTTTTTTGAAAGCGATCCACCGATTGACCCACTTGATGTTGGGTAAACAGAGGTGTGTGGAGTAAGGAAACTTGCCTTAGGTTTTGCCCAGCCCGGGAATCGAACCCGGGGGGTCCTCTTTCTTACGAGGCGAGCGCTCTAACCATTACACAACTGCCCTCTACAATTCATATTTTGAACGTTGGCCACTTGCAGACCAGCTTAGCGAGCTCACAGGATCTTTTAATCCTATTTCTGTGCCTTTTCTCCATCGTCCTTAACACCCTCAGCACATTTCTGACGCCAAAACTCTGGGAAATAGGGTGTGAGACGGCGAGTGGATGGATTTTGCACTGACGTCCTTCGCTAGATGTTTGTTTTTCTGCATTTTGTTGACTTGTTTAGCTCCGATACAAAGTTTTCCATGGGTTTCCTGCAATGTTGCCATTGAAATCCGCTCACTCCTGTTTGTGATGTGCGTTGCTATATTTTGAGATTGATATCAGTGCTTTGATACGTTGAGCCTGTTGACTGTTGATCCGAGCTGTGATATCTGGAGAGAGCAGAGAGAGCGAGAGAGACAGCAGTGTGACGGGGAAGGTCGTCTCCTGTATACAGTTCCGCCTCTTGTTCCCCTGACCAAACCCCAAAGCCTCCTTCACAATTACAGTATTTTCCCGATTATTTTATTTGACTTCCTTGTTCCGATGTTATTAAATAAACAAACCTCGCCTTTGATGAGGCGCCTGATCACGTCGTTGAGACGTCTCACTGCGCCTCACAGAGTATACTGTAAAGTGTAGTGACTGCGCGTTTTGTGGGCGAAGCCTGGCAGCCAACAGCAGTGTCCCAAAAACAGTCATGGAATGAGTGACCGAGTTACTATTTTTGTTTAGGGGATTGTTGGCCAGACCGGGAGACAGAAACTCCCTTCTGCTTTTGGATAGCGCCGTTGAGCTCGGTTACACATCTCATCCGAAGGATAGCACCTCCGACATTGCAGCACCCCCAGCACTGCGATGGAGCGTTAGCTTAGACCGTGCGAATTGCAGTGGCGTGTGGGCTTGAACTCCCAACCTTCTGGCTCAGAGGTGAGAGTATTCCCGCTGAGTCAGTCCGACACGCGCTAAAGTTATGGACAATCTCGCAAGGGATGTGTTCAATTAAATCTGAAATGTAATCACCGTACTGCCAGGCTTTCTGAGGGAGAAAATCTCTATCACATGAAGTTGTGCCATAATGTAACCTGTTAACGGAGGCTTCGTGCCTCTTTCCTTGTCCAATCGGGTTCCTGCCGGTTGGAAATGGCTGCTTTGTAATCAGGTTTATCAGGTTATCAACAGGAAATACCTTTCAGAATGTGCTGTGATTGAATCATTCCCACCCCCTCGTTCCAGCCGGTTCATCAGAACCCAAAATATCTTCCCTTCTCCCTCCCCACAATCGCTTTTGTTTCTCTTTGTGGGCTGGCAGGGTCAGTGACCTCAGCCCGCTGGGCATCTGTGGATTAACTACTCAAAAAGAGAGGCTTTTATTTATTATGTGGGGTCGGGGTAGAGAGGGGAGGGGAGGGTGAGTGGGGGTAGAGGAGGGCAGCGTAGAGGGGTGGGGAGGGGCAGGGGACTTCATCCTAGAATTTTTTGTAGCAGAAAAGTTACTTGGGAGATTATTCTGCATTGTGCCAACAGGCTGTGGGACGCTGCCGCGCGCAATTGGCTGCCGCGTTTCGCCCACAAAATACACAGTCACTACACTTTGCAGTATATCCTGTGAAGCGCTTTGAGATGTCACGCGAGAGGACTTGAGTTCGGTTCCCAGCAGGGCGAAACGGTGGGCAAGTTTCCTGACTCCACGCACCTTGGCGGGTCGCTTTTCCGGGGGTAATAATCCCTTGGAAAAAAAATTGATGACTCAATCCCGACTGTGTGGGGGCGGGGGGAGTGGGGTGGGTGGTGGGGGGGGGAGACGCTGCCGTGTTTCGCTCACAAAATACAGTCAATTCACTTTACAATATATTCTGTGAAGCGCTTTGAGACGTCTCGACGACGCTATAAGGGGTTGTGTCAAATGCCAGGACTCTGAGTATTAAGAAAAGGGTGTGTAGTGATGAAATAGTTAATCTCGAGGATCTTATCGTCGCTGCAAAGATGCCCTCTAGTGAGTGTTGTGGTTCAGCTTCTGCTCTTTCTCTTTGTGCGGAGAACAGGCCCTCAGAGCTGGGGAGAGGAGAGGGAGAGCGAGAGAGAGAGAGAGACAGAGCTTAACCACAGGAATTGGAAGCCAAGGATATAACCAAACCCAGAGTGGCCGCGACTTAAAACATCAAGTTGTTCTTCAATGGTCGGTGAGTACATGTCCTTCTCCATTGCTGCTGCTGGAGCGTGTGTGTGTGTGTGTGTGTGCGCGCGCTGTGTGTGTGTTCTTCAGGGCCCGTATTAGCCTCTCGGTCTCTACAGAAAGAAGCGCAGTGAGTGAGCTGAGCCTCGAGGTGGTCTGAAATGGGATGATCTTCAACTGGAAACACTAAGGGAAGAGGCAGCGTGAAAAAAGGGAGGAAAGGGTTTGAGGTGGACAGAGCGAGGGAAAGGCAGCGGGGTAGGGGGGAGGGAAGGGAAGGGAAAAGGTAGCCTGGGAGGTTGCAGATCACAGCACAGTTGGTTCTGTGTGATCCAGTGAGTTAGCCTTCGTCCAGCCCAGCATCTCACCTCACCTCAACAACCAGACATGGACACCCACACATACTGACACACACACACACACACACACGGGGAGCTGGCGGAGAAAAGATATTGAGGATTATATAATGAGCTCTGACTGAGCCAGAGATGTCATTTTGGAAAAATTGCGCGTGTGTGTGTGTGTCTGCATTTGTGTGTGTGTGTCTGCGCCCGTGTGTGTCTGGGTGTTTGTGTGTGTTTAGATCTGTAAAGCACTCGTGTTGATTAATCACACGATTTGAATGCACAAGGTAGAAAACATAGACGGGCTGCACTAGAAATAACTGTCGATGGTGGGAAAGGATTTCTCTGCAGTCTGTGGTCTCCCATTCATCATCATCATCATAATGATAATAATAATACTCCTTGCGTTTTATATCACGTCTTCGAGACGTCTCAAAGCGCTTCGCACTTTACTGTAAGGTGAACTGACTGTATTCATCTGAATTCTGCTGAAATCCTGGTTAGTCCCCACCCCCCCCCCACCCACCCCTCTCCCCAGTGCAGCATTTTCTTTGCTTTTCCTCCTCAGGTTTCCACGCTGTTTGATCCTGTGCTTTATGATGTTCTTAGTCTTATGTTCGGTGTCAATGGAGCTCTGAGCAAATTGATTTGGGCTTTGCAGTTTACTAATTGATGTCCAGGGTGGGGCACTGTGATACAGTGAGGTACCCCATCCGATCGAAATTAACAGCATTTTCTCCTGCGTCACATCCAACCCTTCTTCACGACTCGTTATTAATAATATAACTATAATAATCCTTGCCTTTGATGCAGAGCCTTATCATGTCGTTGAGATGTCTCAAAGCGCTTCTCAGTATATAATAATCCCTCAAGAAAAAAAACAATAATAATTTGGTCACTCCAATCCACGAACTGTTTGTCGGACGCTGCTGTGTGCAATTGGCTGCCGCATTTCGCCCTCAAAATATACAGTCAATTCACTTTACAGTATATTCTGTGAAGCGCTTTGAGACGTCTCGAAGATATGAAAAGCGCTGTATCAAATGCAAGGATTATTATTATTATATACTGTAAAGTGGAGTGACTATGTATTTTGTGGGCAAAACACAGCAGCCAATAACAAAAATAATAATAATAGTTTGGTCACTCAATCCACAACTGTTTGTGGGACTGTCTGCCGTGCTCCCCAAAAAACATACAGTCACTACATTTTACACTATGTTCTGTGAAGAGCTTTGAGATATCTCAACGATGTGATAAGGCGCTATATCAAATGCACAGATTATTATTATTGTTTCTATTACGGGCCACAGGTTCTATGTATCTCACTGTAGGGGTACCTGCTTTAAAGACACCTCTATCGATGGCCTGAATGGTATCTAGAGGCAGTTTCATCTCATTCACTGACAATCCTTTGCCGGCAGTGAAGGTTTCATACTCTACATGAGGTTGAGCTATTGAATGTATTAGCGTGTGCAATCCATCACTTCTCCTCACACAAATAACTGCCTGTTCAAGCTGTGAGTGGTATTGTTCTGAGATTCATTCATTTCTATCTATTTTCCATCCATTTCATATTTAGTGGGAGTGACTGAGACATGGGTTGTGCTGTGAGTTTCCCAACAGAAAGAGACAAAGCCTCATACAGAGCAGCACTGAGATGGATTCTGTGCATTTCTTGTGAATGTAGATAAAGGTTCACCTGTGACTTCACTCAGTATAAAATAATAGTAATAATATAATAATAATCATCCTTGCTTTGGACATAGAGCCTTATCACATCTTCGAGACGTCTCAAAGCGCTTCACAGAATATATGGTAACTCAGTGTTGACATAAAGCATAGGAACATAGGAAAAAATAATAATAATACTTTGATCATTCAATCCACGGCTGTTTGTGGGACACTTGGTTGCAGTGTTTCACCCAGAACATATACAGTCAGTTCACTTTACAGAATATTTTGTGAAGCACTTTGAGACGTTTCAAAGACGTGATGAGGCGCTGTATCAAAGGCGAGGATTATTATTATTATTAAGTGCTAGACGAGAATAGACCGAGGTCTAGTCTGCCTTCTACCATCCTGGTAGTCAGATGCTAACAATAATACACATGTTGATATAAATTATTTCTGTATGGATTACTCTGCAGCAGTATGAAGCTTCGGGAACATTAGATCCACAGTTGTCTGGGTCTTCCAAGCCATACTCCACTCCCTGTGTGTCATGTCTCAAATGACTGATACACTGTATTCCCCAATATGATTTTACTAAAAGAAATTATCTTAATTTGCGTAAAAGCACTACTTGTTGTTCTGAACTGGCTGCTTTGGGGAAAAAGGAATTCTAGTCAGAAATTCCTTGTGTCCTTCTAACAAAGGACGGAATGAATGAAATGCTCTGGCTACAAACCTGAGCCATATGAGGCTAAATACATCATTGTTCACTTCTGTCCTGAGGGCTGTTAAACACAGACAATGAAATCTCAACACACCACAGCACAGCGGGAAAGTCAGCTTCACTACAGAGACTTCCTTCATCGTGGTCAATGTGGAGATCCTCAAACAAGCTCTGGGCAAGAGAAATGTCCCATCAAACTAGACACTGAGATCTGAAAGGCCTCCATGTGACCTATGTGTGGACAGTGTGTGTGTGTGTGTGTGTACAGTGTGTAAGTGTACTGTGTATGTGTGCAGTACGTGTGTGTATAATGTGTGTGTATACAGTGTCTGTGTGTGTACAGTGTGCGTGTATACAGTGTGTGTACTGTTTGTGTACAGTGTGCGTGTATACAGTGTGTGTACTGTTTGTGTACAGTGTGCGTGTATACAGTGTGTGTACTGTTTGTGTACCCATTTCTGGGATAACTGACATGACTTTACAGACACCTGTTGGGCAGGATTTAGTTTTACTCTGTTTCCCTTGTGTTTCTGACACTCAAGCTCTGTGTTTACTTATTATTTGTGTCAATGTTTTTATTGTGTTCTTTCCCTTTCCTCGCATTTGATTTGGAAAATATTGTGGAATTCCGTCCATTCCGCATCATTTTCAGACCGCAGTTTGAAATGAAGAGAAGCTGTGAAAGTCGTAAATACTTAATGAATTTAGGTTGAAAGCACTGTGGTCTCTCAGCCCTTCTTTCTCTTAATGTGTGTGATAATAACTGTGTGATCGGGGGGAGGGGGGGGGGGGAGGCTTGACATGTCATGACAATGACAACACAATTAATTGGAAATGATCGTTTGTTTCTACTTCTCAATAGTTTATTCCCAACCTTTCAGCAGCCGAATAAACTGCCAGTTTTTGCTGCGTAGTATTCACTGCCTTTCAAAGCACAACAACAACAACTTGCATTGACACAGCGCCCTTCGTGAGGGACAGAGATTCCAGAGCACTTAACAGTGACAGAGCGCAACACCGAGCTGGGGGGAGGGAGGGAGGAGGTGACTGGACGCTGTCAAAGAGGAAGGTCTTCAGTCGATGGTGTAAAAGAGGAGGAGGGGGCGAGGCGGGGGGATTGGGGGGGGAGAGAGTTCCAAAGCTTCACGTCACTGTCTTTGTTGCAGGTTTTGAGAAGTTTCAATATGATAAAAGATGCAATCATAAAATCCAACTATTTATTAGTTTATTTTCTTTTGTTATCCAGGCTTTTCGGGACTAGATATTGACCTACAAATCCAATTTACGAAACAACAATAATTTATTGGATACATGTAATACTATTAATAATAATACTAATCCTTGCATTTGATCCCATCAATGAGGCGTCTCAAAGCGCTTCACTGACTGTACTGTAAAGTGAATTGACTGTGTATTTTGTGGGCGAAACGCAGCAGCCAATTGCGCACAGCAGCGTCCCCCACAAACAGTCGCTGTAAAAAGAAATTTTAAAAACACATTTTAAAAAGAAATCAGTCTTTATAAAAATATGAAATGTGGTTTGAAGTAAAGGTGAAGTTAACTTCACTTTCTGTTGGGGGTAGAAGTTTTGTGGAATCACACATAATGTGGGTGAATTTTAGACTGTGTGTGATTTTGCTGCAGCTACAGAGCAGTGAGCCGTTAGCTTTGTACTTTCAGAAAATACTTTGAAAGTTTAATTAAGACTCGTTTATTTTACTTGGCATTTTAATGGGTTGTGTTATCTGTTAATGGGATCTTTAACTCTACCTCTAAATTGAAGATTATTTATTAGAAAATGTTCAATAAAATTGGAGTTTGAATTTTTCCAAGGTTAATTTACAACGTGATATTAATAGGAATCTATAATAACATTTCTCATTTTCATTTTTTTTGTTTTTCTGATAAAAAACGAGTTACTGTAAAACCATGTAGATAATATCTGTTCAATCGGCTTTTGAATAATGCATTTAATTTGAATCGACTTGTTTTCATGGAGTAATGAGATAGTGGGTGTGAAGTATTAACTTATTTAAAGAATTAATTTTGGGCAGAGTAATACCTTTTAGGGTGAATTAATCCCAATGAAAATATTTGTTTTCATTCGGTGACAATAAAACTCTCTTTTGTAGTAAGTCTTCCAGTCCCACTCACTCAGCGAAGTTAAAATTAGATAAGCCTTTTAAAATACGTTGGAAATAACCTTTATTCTCTCGAAATGCGTTACTTTTTTTATCAGCATGAACTCCCACATTGGGAACACAT